CGAATCCGAAGTCCGTTTTGCTCCATCACGTCAGGATTTTTTTCTAACCTCAAAAAACATGTCGGATTTTGTGAAGTAGGCGATTTTTTTAAAAATTGATGTATTAACTTCAAACTTGGTATCTGGGGGTTTTTTGTATCGCTGATTACGAATCTGATGTCAGATTTCCGAAATTCGACATGTCTGATTCAATATTAAGGAATTGTTTTTAAAAAATTGTCAGATTATTATGAAATTTGGTATCTACAGGTTTTCTAAGTTGCTGACAAGTAACACTAGGGAAGTGCCATACGACGATTTTTCTGAAACTTGGCAGTTTTGTAGTTTTTTAAAAACAATTTGACACGTATGTTTTGTTTTTCCGCAAAATATTCGTAATCAGCGACCCAAAAAACCCCCAGATACAGATAATGGCGTATCTAATATGTCCGATAGAAGTCCATGTTGGATATGCCATTTTGAATTTTTCAAATCTGACATCATATTCGTAATCAGCGACCCAAAAAACCCCCAGATACCAAGTTTGAAGTAAATCTTAAAATTTTTTCAAAATTCGTCCGCCATATTGGATCCGCCATTTTGAATTTTGAAAATCTAACTTCAGATTCGTAATCAGCGACACAAAAAACCCCCAGATACCAAGTTTGAAGTTAATACATCAATTTTTAAAAAAATCGCCTACTTCTCAAAATCCGACATGTTTTTTGAGGTTAGAAAAAAATCCTGACTTGATGGAGCAAAACGGACTTCGGATTCGTGTTCAGCGCGTCAAAATACATAGGGTTAGGGTATTCCGGTCAAAAGTACATGACACTTTTTTTTTTGTGGCGCTGTGTAGTCTTACTTAAGGCTTAAAATTTTATTATTGTGCTAAGCATCACTTAACATCGTCTAATTTTTAATGTTTTTTGATCTAGTTGTTAAAATTGTGTTAAGCAAAATGTAAATTAAGTTTAAAAAATTAGTAGTCATTGAAATATTTATTTATTTTGGTTATTAATATGCTAAAAGACCTATTTGAGGCATAAAATTTGATTTTAATACTAAAGATCACTTGAACTCGGTCAAATTAAAATATTTTTCTATCAAGTATCAAAAATTGTGTTGAGTAAAATGTAAACTTAATGGAAAAATTAAGAAACTCAAATATATTTGTTAATTTCCTTTATTATGTTGCTAATAGTTGTATCTGATGCATTTAATTTGATTTTAGTGATAAAGATCACTTGAACTTGTCTAAATTTTAATATTATTTGATTTAGTCAAATATTTATTAAACTAAATGGAAACATTAGTCTACAGTAAATTAATTAAAGAATTCATCAACTTTGAGAACTGGTTTCAGCGAAATGTAAACTTCACAAAAAAATCAGAAATTAGTTAAATATTTTTAGACCCCCGCGTAAAAATGAAAGTATGACAGAGTATTGCTTAAAGTAAAGTTTGTCTACCGTAACACCACACCTAAATTTTAAAAAAACATAAAAAATTGAAAGTAAACAAGATATCAAAAAATTTTTTTGTAACACACAGTAATAAGCGCCAATACATGGCAACTTTTTACAGTACATTTTTTAAAGAATTTTAAATAAATCGAATGCAGAAAAATTTTGTTAAATATTTTTCACCTTTTAATTGAATAGTCCAGAAACACGGAAAGAAAAATCAAGCGTTTGTTGTATGGGAGCCCTCTATGTTAATTATGTATGGACGTCCCTGCTTAAGAGGCGTGGCCTTATACTACAGTTGCAGAAAACTTATACCGAAAAAGCATGGAATTCTTGCAATCGTAGTATGCTGATGTTTAAAGGTAGAACTTTCATGCTCATGCCAAACAATTTTTTTGACAAAAAAAGTACTTAAAAAATTGTATTGTTTGATTATTGTTACGAACGAGAAAAATTAATTATTTAATTTTTATAATTTTGAACAATTATTTAAAATTTTCTATTCGCCGGAGGAACCAAGTTGCCATTAAAAAGTCAAAATGAACATTCAACTTAATAATGTTTATTTTTAATGTGGGTTCGATTAATTATATCGCCGATAGAAGACGAAACTGCCAATTTAATCTTTAGATCGTAAATAATGTTTCTTAGCTTTGAGATGAAAATCCACACTATTTTTGACAGCACAAATAAAAAGGTCTATTTGATTGAATAGAACAATTGGAATTTTAGTTTACAAAAATTTATTAAAAATCAAAGTAAAAATTGCAAAAATTACACATTATATGCTTTCTTTTGTAAAGAATAATGTTTTTGGAACGATACAGTTTTTTATTACTTACGGCTAGATTTCTCTTACACACTACCGTCGAGAGAGCTTGTTGAGAAGGGAGAATTCTCGCGATCTCGTCACACAATCAACGGGCAAAACGAAAGAAAGGTGTTATGCGTATTTCCGCGTCTCGAAACGCGGTACCGGTACCCTATCAGACACAAGCGGCGCAGGTACAATCCGTACGGACTGGCCGGTTTTAAGAACAAAAAATTATTTAATAAATTATAAATAATTTATTAAATAATTTCTCACTGTACTGATCAACCGATTGGGACTCAGCCGGTTCAAGGTTCGATTTAATTTTACGTCCGCCCAAAGAAAATAGAATTTAAATTGGAGCCAGCTCGCAGACGGGCCTTATTCTTAAAATTAAAAATTGGCTCAACGAAAATCTATCGTGATTCAGCAATTTTAATTTTAGAATTTTAAGCACTGCTGTTAATTTACCTGGCTCAACGAAAATCTATCGTGATTCAGCAGGTATATTATTGAGCTTTCTCCACAGTTTAAACTCTAAGTTCACTTTTTAAAGAAATAATGCAAAAATCAGTAACACGTACTAAGTGATTGACTGAAGACGAATAGGCAATGAGGCCCTATGAGCTTCTGCTTATAAAGAGCATCGCGAGATGCACTTAGTGGGATTAGTGAATCAGGGGTAGAAGGATTCTGGGGGTTTCAGGGGTATCGATAAGAAAACTTAGATCATCGTCCATCGATATTCTCAGAACCCATGATTCTTGTTATTCTTTTCTTTGTTGACACTATTGGAACTGCACATCTCCATATGTGTAAGTGTATATATGTGTTTTTAATAAAGTATAACTCGCAACCTTTGTTGAATTCCAGAGCGGTCATAGTTCTGCACAGATTATCGTTTTCATATTAAAAATGAAACTATTTTCCTTTTTTATATATGCATATACATTTTACGCATACACACGTACATTTACCTTAGTACACATGCATATATGCACGACATACATGTCTCAAAAATTTTCTTCTCTTTTTTTTTTTTATATGCATTTTGTTTTTTTTTACAAAATTGACCCTCTTAAAATAAAATCTTAATTGTTGCGAGTTTATATGTGCTTGGAAAATGTGACATGTTCCAGTTTAAGCTATCAACAATTATTGTATCTTTATTTCCCTTTTTTTTTTTTTAATTTGAAGGTATTATAAGGAAAAGAATAGGGGAAGGAAGGCAGTGTTTGCATCGCGCGATACTCCTCAAGCGCCTCACACATATGCGTTACGCAGGCTATGGGGAGTCCGTGTCTGTGTGTACCGCATCCACGCTACGAGACTCATTGCACCTGAACGCGTGAGAAAGAGAGAGAAAGATAGATAGAATTGACATATGCGATTCTTCTCCCTTCTTATAAAATAATACATTTTCGTAAATATAATAATTGCAATATAATAATCACATTATTGTTGGTTACTATAATATGCGTAGAAATGTGCAACCAAACAATGTATACACATATCTATGCATATCACTTTGGCATACTATGAACACACGTACACACGATAAAAGTAATGCACACGCATACGTGCATATACAATGCATATTCTTTGAAATAATATTTGATAATGATGATTCTAATAAGTAGAAAAATAGTATTGGTAATATATCCAATTGTTTATAATAATAATTATGATTAATTATTAATATTAATTTTAGTAAATGTAATTAACAATGATAATAATACGATTTATCATTATTAATAAAAAAAAATCATGAATTAACAATAATTTGCATATTGTTAATTAATTAATTACTGCAAATTATTAATAAAAATGAGTAAAGTATAATTGTTTTATTTATAATAATATTTTAGTATCTTTATATAAGGTAAGTACACTATATTATATTTTTCATGCATATATTTATAATATTCAAGCTTGAATATTGGTATTAGATAATTAATATAGTTTATAATATAGCATAATATAATATAGTATAAATCATAATATAGAATAATATAACATAAGATAGAATAAAATAATATATTATAATATAACAGTTTAACAAAGTTATATTATAATATCATAGTCATAGATACATTTTTAGAAGCAACGAGAATATAGGACTGTGTGTGTGGAGTATCACTCAGCGCGCGCGATTATCGGGGATTCAAATTACATGCCTATATACATTGTGGCATCGACTTGGAGATTTTATTCTTAAATAATTTTCAATTATTCTTGAAATTATTTATTATCATTTTATTTATCTTTTATTTATAATTTCGTTACGATAGTTCGTAACAATCCACCGCGGATTTTTCCGTTTTCGTCCCCGAAAACTCATGGTCTCGACCACAGCATTCCTTATACTTTGTATATCGACATATAATCTAAATATTGTGTCTACTTGGTGACTCTTCTAAGCACTGCTACAGTATAGGACCCAGTATCAATGTCTTTGTGCTGATACAAATCAGTTCATTTCGTGAAGTGATCAAGTGCGCTTGTGAAATTTAAAATCTCTGGGATTATTTTATTTTGAACAATTTTAGTGGATATCGGAGGATTTTATTTTAAACAATTATTGTAAAAGTGCGAATAGTGCAAAAACTTTGGAAGACTATATTTTTTTTTTTATTATAACAATTAGTGTAAAAGTGCGGGTGGTGCAAAAACTTTTAAAAAAACTATTTTTTTTTTTAAAAAAAACAATTAGTGTAAAAGTGCGGGTGGAGAGTAAAAAAATGGCTGGAAATGCGGAAAACAGCAGAGAATTTATGGAGAGGTTTAGTAAGTTTCAAGATTCTCTATTTTTTATTTCTTTTTACTATTATTGAATTATTTATTGATTGTTTATAACAATCAATAAATATATCTCATTCTCGGTAAACAAATACACACATCCTTTTAAAAATAGATAATAATAATTATTATTATTATAAAATTTTTTTTTTTTTTTTTTTTTAACCTAATTTATTTATCTTAATAATTATTTAATAATTTTAATTTTGTTTATAATAAAAATTTTATTTATTTATTATTATTATTATTTTTTTATAGATTTCAAATAAAATTAATAATTTTTGTTATTAATTTATAATAATAATTATTATTGATCATTAAATATTAATTAAACAATTTAAAAATATTTCAAAATGAAAATCGTTCATAATTTTGAATTTGCTTTCTAAATGCTATCAAATGTATATTCCATGCTCTTGGAGGGGTATGTATATAGTCGATGCGGCGCCGTATCTTACACTTGATGACAGCATATATAGATATACATGTATACACAGTTCCAGCGCGATGATCATAATATGAACCCAGACACATTATATTACAAAAAAAAATATTTTAAAATTAAAACTAAAATATATTATTATTACTATTATTATATTTGTTTAATTTTCTTTTTTTTTTTTTTTATTAATTAAATTAATAACATACATTGTACATAATTTAAATATAATTAATATTTTTAATTATTAACAATCGATTATAATTAATATATATAATTTTTTTTTTTTTTTAACTTTCTTTAAAATTTTAATTGTTTATAATTTATTAGCAATATAAAATTACTTAATCAAAATATTTTGTAAATGTAAAATTAAAATTGATTAGAATAAGTAATTATTTTCAACTTTATTATTGATGTTTTATATAAAAATTCTTTGTTCATAAAAATAAATTGACATTTAAAATTGCATTTTTTTTGTCTTGGTTCATATATTCAAAGCGCTATTAGGCATGGGTACCATCGATTTAGATGGGTGCGCGTACAGACAGCTCGGCGCCACAGCTCATGCCTTGTACACAGTATATATATATATATATATATAGAGAGAGAGTATACATGCTTACGGTTTGAACATAGTGACCACAATATAGGATTTAAATGCACAGTGCATATACTGAGTTTTATGAATGAATTTCTCCTATATTTTTATTTAATAAACAACATGTATTAGTTAACTAATTAATTATTAATTAATTATTTATTTAATAGAAATTTCGTAAAAAAAATTTAAGTTTACTAAGTTTTGTTTATTTAATAAATTTATTTAATGTTATAAATTTTTAGCAACAAATTTTTTTTTATACATATAAAAAATTGTTTATTTAACAATTTTCAAAAATTTAATAATAAAATTTGGTACATGTAATAAAATTTTGATAATTATTTAAATTTTAATAATACTTATATTATTATTATAAAATTTTATTTCTGTAACAATTTCTTTAATAATTATTATATTATTATTTATTTATTTTTATTTATTTATTCCATAATTTTGTTTATTTAACAATAAAAATTTACCAAAATTTATCTGATTTTAACGTATTTTTGTTTAGTTATCGAATTTTTACGAAATTCAATAATAATTTTTATTACTTTGAAGAAAAATTGTTAAAATTAAATTTAAAGTTGGTTCAATGTAGGATCTATGTCGGTCGGCCTATCTAATGACAAATGCTGAATCTGTCGCTTGACTATATCCCCTCTATGTAGGCTAAGTAATATAGGACCTCTATAGAAGATATATATATGCGCTATGTAGGCCATAGTATGTAGAATCTATATAGGACTTAAATGTATTATTTACGTAGGTCAAATGTTCTACAATCTATATGGAGTTTTTATTTGATTTCTATATAGGCTTAACAGTATAGAATCTATATAGAAATTTTGAGGAAATCCGATATAGATGAATATAATATAATCTATGTAAGACTTGAAATCATTTCGAATTAGGAAGAATAATAATTGCATTATTATTGCAAAATTTTAATTATTTTATGCCCCCTTTTTTTTTTATTTATTTAACAATTTTTATAATTAACAGGTAATTTTTCTATAATTTACCAAAAATTATTAATTATTCTAAAATTGCGCTTTATTAATAAATTTAATAAATTTTGTTATAATTTTTATTATTTAACAGAAATTGTTTATTGAACAATAAAAATAGAATTTTATTAATTTTTATTAAATTTGAGATAATTTTTATAAATTACAATTATTTAATAAAACTTTTATTAAACTTTAGTAATAATTTTTATTTAAATTTTCATATAATTGCACTATTATCATCAATCAAATTTTTTTTTTTTTTTTTTTTTTTAATATATGAATCGAAAAAACTTTATAACCTAGAGATTTTGTTAGTTTTTACAGCAAGAGCTGTAGGAGGGGTGGTTTCCGCTGTGTGTTCCCACACCGGTATTAGATACCGCTTTACGATTGAAGAGGGTAAGTACTGTGAATAAGAAAATAAGGTAAGAAAAAATATACATATATACACATACACATATACATTTGTACTTAATTACAGACGGATGGCATTGGTATAAGGCCAATGAATATGAAGGTGCAAGCGATGCTGATGATGAGCGCGGTGAGGAGGAAAGGATAACGGTCGGGTGCAATATTGCAGCCCGCGATCGCAGCCCCGGCTCATCACGCCCGCCCAGTCAGGAGCACATCTTGCCCCCCACATGTAAGTATTATATATATATATATATATTAGAGAAATATTTTTAAATTCAATTGTATTTATTGATTTTTGTGGTTTATTCTGGATTTTTAGTGGAGGAACCGGTAGGTGAAGATTGGCCTGAAGAGAATGGCCTGGCAGGTGATGATCTGCCTATAACAGGTAGGATATTGTTAACGTAAAGCCCATACGTGTATAAATTTTAGACATGCATATTAATACTTTAATTTTTATAGATCGAGCTGATCAAGATGTTACATCTCCGGATGTAAGTGACATTGAGTCACGAAATTGCGAAGAAGATTTAGAAGGTAACAAAACCTCTTTTTTTAGATGAAAAACATATACATAATTATGGGTTCCTATATATGCATATATATACATTTTTCTTTTTTTTTTTTTTTACAGATGAGGCAGAAGAAGAAGACGAATCGGAGAATGTTACGTCTCCAGATGTGAGTGACATAGAGTCACTAGGAGATGACATATTTGTCGAAGGTGAGTCATGAATATTATATATTAAATACACATTTGGGTTTATATTAACATTATTATTATTTTTTTTTTTACAGATGATGTTCAGGGAGCAAGGGCTTTGACTCCCCCCGATATGCCCGAGCTTGTTTCTTGGGCAGATGAGTTTGAGGGAGCAAGGGCTTTGACTCCCCCCGACATGCCCGAGCTTGTTTGTTGGGCAGATAACGGTATGTTTTTTTATCATTACATGTATCCTTATATAAATTTTTGTATAACACTTGTACGTCTTTTCTGACATTCATACTTTTATTCATTCAATTTTTATATTACAGCTTATGGTTTTGCAGCCCAAGCTTTGGGTCGGAGTATAACTCCGCCCGATATGCCCGATCTCTTTTCGTGGGTGGATAATGGTAAGATATATATATATTATTTATTTATCATATTCGTATGACCTTTTTATCATTCATTCTTGTATTTATTCTATTTCGTTTTATAGGTGAGGGTCGAGCAATGCGAGGTTCGGGTCGGAGTACGACTCCTCCCGATATGCCTGAACTAGTGTTGGCGGGCAATGGTAAAAAAAAAATTTATCTTCCTATACATTTTATATCACATTTGTACGCCTTTTTTTTTAACATTTATACTTACATTTATTCTATTTTATTTTACAGATTATGGTCATTCAGCACGAACTTTGGGCAGGAGTAGAACTCCTCCTGATCTCATGATGCCTGATAATGATGGTAATAATAATTTTATTTTTTTTTTTACAATAGTATTTTAATTATTTATAATTTTAATGATTTGTGGTATATCTTTTATTAATTTATTAGGTTGGGTACCATTCTTGCGTCGACAAGAGCTTCTTCCTGAGCTCCAACACTTTGAGAAAGTGATTGGAGTTCTTTTGAAAATAAAATTGAGGGGGGAGGACGATGATACAGCCGATTACCGCATAATTTATCAGGAGGAATCTGACGCACCCCCTCCGTGTTAGTAAATCTGTTTATAAAATATATATAATATATATATAGGTACATTCAATAAGTAAATTTTGTTTTCTTCTTCTTTTTTTAGATTGGTGTTTTGGGCCCACTAACCCCTACGAAGAATTATTATGCGTAATTCTTCAGTTGCGAATTGTGGAGGCAATAGGAACTCGAACTGAGTATCGCGTAATTTACGGATTCGACGATTAATATATTATTTTTATTTTATTTTATTATTATTAAAAAATTTTTTTTTTTTTTATTTTCTTGTTTAGTTAATAATTGTAAATTTATTATATATATATTATTATTATTTTATTTTATTTTAACTTTAATTTGTGTTATATGGACTCATTTTCATCTAGAATTAATATATATTAAGTTCTGAGCAAATGTCCGGTTGTATGCGTGTGTGTGTGTGTCACAAAATATTGTGTACAAATTATCTCAAAAATTTTAACGGATTGTCTTCGAATTTTGTATGCTAAAATCTGACACAGGATTTACGGATATATCCAGAACGTTTTGTTTTTTTTTTTTTTGTTTTTTTTTTTTATAAAATTGTAAATAAATTCACACGGCATTTATTCACACATATGCATTTACTCGCATTCATTCATTCACACATTCACACATAAAAAAAATGTATTTAGAAAATATATATATTTTATTTTTTTTTTTTCAATAGCAAAGAATGTTTGTTTGGTTGTTGTTTTTGTTTTATTTATTTATTTATTTATTATTATTATTTTTTTTTTAAGAATAGTTTAATTACTTATTCATCTCCACTTCCAGTAAAACTTTCCTGTTTTTGATTCTTTTAACTGAAAATTTAAACTTAGGGTATGACTGTAGCAGCAATTAGAGTGAGTATAAAAATCATACATATATATATATACAAAAAAATTTTGTCTTTTATTTGTTTTAACCATAGTTATTTTTGTAGAATTTCATCGCATGTAGTCAACATCGTTGCACTGATCACAATTTTACCACTCACATCTTTAGAACTGAGAGGCCATTTTCTTTATTAAACTACACTTGGCACACGGAGATTCTTTTATTGATGGATAGAACTGGGACTCGTATATTTTATTTTGAATGGGGAAAACTGGAATTTGTTGTAGAGTTCAGCATCGTATTTGGATAATTTTTGGGACTATTTGTAGAAAAACAAACAAAAACTCGCTGCATTGTTGATGAATGTTGACAAGATGAAAATTATATACACTGGTTCGTATAGTTAATATTCACTTAATTCATTATTGTTTTGCTTTTTCTTATTATTTTATTTTTGTAGGATTTCTTTTTGAAAAATTGGCTTCGGTTTCCTGTTTGATGATGGTTTGTATAGTTTTATAATATTGTTTTTGATTTTAATTAAAAATTTCGTGAGAGTAATTATAAATTTTCTTTTAGCTACTGAAGATAAATTTTCAATGGTATGACTCTTTTGTTGAACGGGAATGAAATCTGGGTCGTTTGCTGGATCTGATGCAGGACACATTTAATTTTGGAAGGAGCAGCAGGATTCAGCATCGACTATTATTCAGACAGAGACGTCAAAAGCAACTCTGTCCTGGAGCATCACATGAGGCGCAGGTGGAGGAGGCGGTGGAAAATTGTTGTTTCTTCTACGTCTGCTAGATATCTTTCGATAGCATAGGTAGATATTGCGAGACAGGATCAGCATCAATAGCAATAGTATAACCTTGAATCCAATGGCGATGTAGTTTTTCACATCTAAAATGCCTCCTATTAGTGGAATTTCCATCCTTTCTTTGCCGTGGTGAAATATTCCAGATAGTTTTTATTGAATGGGATTTTAGACCTCCTATTTTTACAGAAGAAATAAATGTTAGAATTGAATTTAAATGAAAACAGTGTTTGTATTTGAATTTCTCCAATACATACTGACATTAGGACTGATACTATTCACACTCGTTTGGTCGTACATGCGTATCTGACATTCCGAGTTCCTTTTCGTAATAGGTAATAGTTCGAAAATGCCCTCCAACGACTAACGCTTTCCTGAAGTGAGTTTCGAACAAGCTTTCTATAGTAGATTGTCGCCAGTCATTTTCATTGTAACGTTCTATGAAATTATGGTCTATATATTCGAAATCATCTTTTAAATACCAAGGATAGGGTATGTTTATAATTTGATATTTTGACTCTTCTGCTTCTTTAAACAATGGTGGTAAATCAAAACATGAACACAAACAACTTGTAAATCTCCTATTTATAGGTATTTCATGAAAATCAGTTATTCCTATTTTGTTTAGTTTATTTTTCCTAGCTTTGTGGATAGGTGTCTTGAATGGGAGAGACAATGGGAAAGAGACGTGTAAGCATTGACCATCTGGTAGAAATTGTAAAGGCCTAAAACAGCAATTCATGTTGTTTATTAGATAATATATCCAGGAAGAAAAACCCATATCTAAACCTATTTGAAGAGTGAGTGTATTACTGCTTAGAATAACATACACTACATAATTATACAAAAGGCTTTTTGGATCTATGATTTTAATAGATCTTAGAATAGCATAGAGATTGGGATATAGACAAATAAAACCAGATTTTAATCGAAATATTGTCCTTTGTCCAGAAAATACTTTTACTGTCAATGATTCGAGAATTTCATTGTCGGATTCATCATAAATGATCATTGTTTGACCAGCAACTCTAACATCACGAATATTTTGAGCAGTTTTTAGACAATCTAGCAATATGGCATTATATGCTAAATTAGCTAGTGTTCTTGGGATTTTCCATGATTTTTCGAAATCCTTTAATAATCTTTTGATAATTAATGGTGGATTTTTCCGACTAATTTCCGAAATAGGGACATCTTCTACATTGGGAAGCAAGACTTCTAAAAATTCACTCATTTTGAGTTATATATATATATATATTATATATACCTAATAATTAAACGGGATGTTGAAGATAATATTCTACAGTTAGGTTTGAAACTAATCCTAATGTTATAGCAGTTTTAGTTCCAATTATTGCAGAATTAAATTGAAAAGATGATTCCGTATTAGGGTCTATAACTAGAAAGAAAATTTTATCACCGTTAACTTCTAATTCTACACTTCCAACTACTAAAAGAAATTCATTTCCTATCTTCTCTATAGAATGACTAATATTTTCATATTCCACGTTTAGAAGATTTACAGAAATAAAATTGTGTTTTGTTTTTAGAGATAGTAATACGTCTATTTCGTCTACAATTAAATCTGGGGACATCAGCGTTATATATTCTTCTCCATTTAACACTATTTCATCCTCAAAATTGGCAGGTGGCATTTTCAACGCTTAAGTACATATTGATTTTTTTTTTTTTTTTTTTTTTGTACTCCTTACACAGTTTGCTTCAATCTCTTCACAACCTGATAAAAGAGAAAGATTTTAATTAACAATATGCCATCATTAATTTATCTTTATGTTTTGAAAATCTCTCGTTATTTTCATCTTCTAGGATTACATTATTATTTTGAGTAAATCCTACTACGGTATAAGGACCTTCGGCTCTCTTATCGAATTTATTCGCTCGGATTTCTTTATACGCGAACACCTTGTCGCCAATTTTCGCTTTTAGAGGGCGGGCAGTCCTATCATGATATTCTTTAGACTTTAGTTTCGCTTGGACAAGATTTTTGGCAGCTATTCCCTGAATTTCGCTCATTCTAGTTATAAGTTCTTTTAAATAGGATCCATAAGTCTCAAGCTCTGGTCCTTGGGGAAATGAACTTGGAATTCTTGCTAGTTTTCCGAAAACCAACTCGTAAGGAGTGAAATTAGTTGCCTCGTGAACTGATGTATTATAATTAAACATCGCAAAAGGTAAAAGACGATCCCAATCGTCAAAATCCTCAGCATAATGTTTAATAAAATCTGTCAGCTCAATATGGCTTCTTTCTAATGCTCCATTGGTTTGAGGTCTGTAGCCAGAAGTGGTTATTTGTTTAACTCCAAAAATTCTTTCCAATTTTCTCATGAGTGAACTTATAAAACTTCCTCCTCGATCAGTAAGAACACATCTAGGCGCTCCAAACTGAGAGAATAAATGAGTAGCTACTGCATGAGCGATTGTGGTTGTTTTTATATCGGAAATAGGGACTGCTATACAATATTTACTGAAATTATCTTGCATAGTGAGAATATACCGATTCCCATTTGGAGTAGTAGGTAACTTTCCTACGGTATCTAGGGATACTTTGTCAAAAGGGCCTGCAGGAGTATCGGTTATTATCATTGGTTCACGAGTACGAGCTCTAACTAATTTATTTTGAAGGCAACTCTGACATCCTCGTATAAATTCTGTTATTTCATCTCGCATTCGAGGCCAAAGGTAGCGTTCTCTAATTCGTCTATATGTCTTCGTTATCCCCTTGTGACCTGCTAGTAGACTTTCGTGATATTCCGAAATAATTTTTGGCCTCAATTCTGGGGGTGGAACTTCAATTTTTCCGTGGCACAATATCATAATGATATCGCCACCGCGGAATATTTTTGTTAATAATTCTGTCATTTTACCTTGGGGAAGGGAACCTAACAAATCACCTGTATTTGCCATACGACATGTAGATCGAGTATCTCGGCTCAAAGCTAATTTAAGATTTTTCAAACCTAGAATTACATTTCGCCAGTCAATTTCGTCATAATGTCTTTGTTTAACAATTATTGAATAGGTACAATATCGTCCACTAGGGGTAATAAGTATCTGACCTATTTTTGGTCGTTTTTCCTGCAGTTCTTGAAGATCGATTCTCTCGGTTGCCACTAAAAGTTTTGAAATAGCATCAACTGGTTCACAATCTTCTGACATGAAATGAGCATAATTGTCTCTTTCATATGTTAATGGTTCTGACCATTTTTGAATTACGTTATTTTTAGTCAACACGTCTTTCGTTATTTTAAAGTCATTGTCGTCACAAGTATCAGAAAAAGATGGGGAATCATAATACGGAATACCTACACCTTTGGAAGATTTTTCTATGGGTGTACACTTTGTTCCCGACACATTATCATTAGTTTTTTCCTGTAGTCGGCGTGGCACAACACTAGATTTTTTTCCCATTTTTGAACCATTTGTTTTCATGTAGACAAATGGAGTAGATTGAGCATCAGGAATGACGGAAAATCCAGGTGTTTGAAATATTGATCCTTGCCATTGGGAATAATCCTTAGCGGGGGAATGCATGACATCTGGATCGTCCCTGAAACGTACTGTACTCTGTCTTCCTTCAATTTGTTTAGCAGGTAATGTAGGCGAAGGTCGCGGCGAATTTTCTATTTCAACATTTGAAACTTGGCGCTTGTTGTAATTGTCCAAAAATTTTCTTATCCTTTCTGTGAATGCATCATCTTCGACATCACTATTTTGGCATGGATCCAGGGCTTCTAGAGTATCAAGGAGTTCTTCGTCATTTTCACCTTCCGATACATGCGTTAATTCTGGACGAGTAAATTCTTTATCCATTCCTTCGTGGTCCCATGCTAATGTTAGGTTAGTTTGATCGAATCCTCTATTTTGCATTGACTTGTCAAATTGCTGAAATGATTTTTCTAACCCACTTTTTACTTTCCACACTTTGACGTCTGATTCTTCTTCTGTGCTTCCAATCGGTTGGGGAGCAATATTAATAATCACATTTTCAAGATCACAAATTTCTTCCTCTTTTTCTTCTTCGATTTCAAAATCGTCCATGATTTGTTCTTTATTGACACCTTCTTTTGCTAATTGATCGGCCATTTCATTACCAGTTAGGCCTTGATGGCTCGGTATATGTTCCCAGACAACGTTTAAGGGTTCTAAAGCCTTTGTTAATTTTTCAAAGGCAATGCGATTTTTAACAGGTTTATTTTCCTTAGTTTTCCATTGGTTTAGTTTCCATTTTGGGATCCAATCCGTAACACTTTGAATTAAGAATTTTGAGTCGGTGTTAATCCTCAGATTTTGGATTCCTGCTTCTTGAGCTTTTAAGGCGGCTACAGTTGCTGCTTCTATTTCAGCTGCATTGTTTGTTTGTCGACCCTTGGATCGCTGAGAAATATTTAAGGGATGATTATGACCAAACCAAATACCTATTCCAGCTCTTGGTTCTCCACTTCCGTTGAAACTACAGGCGCCATCTACATAAACGTCTGTATAAGTGTTTTTCGCTGGGGAGAACAGAGGAATAGTGGTTTGAATTTGATCCTCGGAACCTACTATTTTTGGACTCGCCTGTTTCTGTTTTGGGGTTATTTCTACACTAGGGAAACCGCTATGACTTTTTCTGAAAACTGGGGGATCAGAATCTTCATTTAATTCCTCATCTGTTGTTATTTCGCTAGAAGATGATGGTTTTTCACTAGAAACAGGGGTTTCTGGATTTGGAATTTCCCTTCCTCTAGTTAGCCTTTTTGCAATACAACTCTCGTTCGGATCGACGAGATTTTTAGTACCTCGAGGTAAGGTAAATGTTTGATCCTTTCGTTCATCTCTCTTGGTACTACCTTTAGGTCGACCCGGCGGATTTTTACCTGTGGAGAGGGGTTGCTTAGGAATCGTTGATTTTATGAGAGTTTTAGGGAGGGGTCTTCGCATTCTTACAACTTGTGATGGATCACTTAAGGTTCTTTTATAATTAGGATTCAAAATATTTGTTTTTGGCCTTTCCTTATACCTTGCAGAAGTAGAGGGCTTTTCACTATTTGAAGAATCCTTTTTCGCGCACTTTTCCTTATTATCCTTCTTGCTAGATTCGCTTCGCGTTATGGGTAAGGCTCGATATTGCACGGATTGTTTCTTATCTATTAACACGTTCATTGGAATCTGATCAGGATTAAGAGTTTCACTTTTTGCACTAAGGTTCGAGGATGTAGATTTATCTGTATCTGCGTCCGTCGTCACGTCGCTTTGATTGTCTTTTTCTTTTATGGGACTGTTTGATAATGCTTCTACAATTCTGTTAATTTTACCTGGCTTGTACTCGAATTTATACACGTAATCTTGAAGACGTAGCCTCCACCTGTGTAATCTCGCACCTGGATTTTCAATATAACTCATCCAGTGTATCGGTTCGAAATCGCAAGCTAGAATAAATTCTCGACCATATAGATAAGGTCGAAAATTTTCTACGGCATATAGGATCGCAAGGCATTCTTTTTCCGCTTTCGGATATTTTTGTTCATTTTTATTTATGACCTTTGAAAAATAAGCCACGGGTAAATCGATTCCGTCGCATTCTTGAGTTAAAATAGCACCTATTGCACGCTCAGATGCGTCGGTAGTTAACTTAAAAGTTTTCGTAAAATCAGGATATTGTAGAATAGGTTCTTTACAAAGATGGTTCCTGAGTTGACGAAAAGCTTTTTCCTGATCATCAGTCCATTTCCAAACAGTTTCTTTCTTTAAGAGGTCTGTTAATGGATTTGATATTTTTGCATAATCTTGTATAAATCGCCTATAATAACCGGTTAATCCAAGGAATCCTCGAAGTTCCTTGATAGTGGTAGGATGGGGAAAATTCCTTATCGCATTTATTTTATTAGGATTAGGTTTTACCCCTTCTGGACCGATTATATGACCGAGATATGCTACTTCCGTTTTTAGAAATTCGCATTTGTCAGGTTGTAATTTTAAGTTTGCTTCACGGAGGCGATTAAAAAGCCGTCTAGCTCTTCTATCATGTTCTTCTAAAGTGTCGGAATGAATAATGATATCATCTAAATATACGAGAGCTTCCGTATCAAGCATACTGTTTAAAACGTTATTTAATAATCGTTGGAATGTAGGAGGGGCATTCTTTATTCCCATGGGCATACGCTTATATTCGTAATGAGCGTTGCCGGTAGAAAAAGCTGTTTTAATCCTATCGTCAGGGTGTGTTTCTACTTGATGGAAACCCATGGCTAGATCAAAAACTGTAAAATACCGCGCAGTGCCCAATTTTTCGAGCAGGCTATTTATATGGGGTAACGGGAAAGAGTCACCTATAACTTGCTCGTTTAGTTTCCTATAGTCTACAACAACTCTCCATTTCTTTTGACCCGAAGCATCGAGTTTTTTGGGAACGATAAGAACTGGGGAATTGTATGGTGAAGTCGAAGGACCAATGATTCCACAGCTCAATTGTTTTAGGAGCTGCAGATCCATTTGTTCTCGAGCTTCATGAGGACACCTGTATTGTTTTCTAGTGATGACTTTGTCATCTCTTGTTGGAATTCTATGCTGAATTAAATGGGTACATGACAAAGGTTCCCCATTCAAGTAGAAAATGTCAGCATAGTCTTCTGCCCAACCGTAAACAACTTTTCTTTCTTCAGGGCTCAGATGTGAAACGTAAAGGGCATTTTTAACCTTTATAACTCTATCAGAATAACCATTAACATTTTGATCCTGAAGTTCCTCTAGTTCCGAATCTGTTAATTCTTCTCCAGGAAACTTGCAGAAATCAAAAGGTATTAATTCTTGTGGAGTTAGTTCAAGATCAATATCCTCTTCAGTGGTATTGATAGCCACTGCATGACATACACCATTGGTATTGGTAACCACTGCTTCACCAAGGTAAAGTCCTTCGGGTGTAGGTACTAGAGGTAAATAACCTTCTTTTAGGCCCTTGTTAGAAACGTCGATCGCGATTGGTTGTCTAGTCCTCGCTTTAATTCTGAGAATTCGAGCAAATGGTTTAATTTCAGGTTTCAAATTTTGTTTCGATTCTTGTGATTCTAAATCTACGAAGGGTATAGGAGTTATAGGATCCGAGATTGTAACTAACGCATTATGTCGAAACGATATTTGAGCTTGCTCTTGACGAAGAAAAGGTCTTCCTAAAATACCTGATGTGGATATCGGAAAATTATTTTTAACCACGTGGAATTCGACTGGATTTTTCTGAATTGTAAGTTCGATAGTTCCCAGAGTCTTAACGGAATGATTTGTTATTCCTGTAATTTCAGCGCTGTTTTTGACTGCAATTATTAGTTCCGGGTCCAGAGCATTCAGTTTAATCAAATTAGTATCTGATCCAGGATCAACTAAAAATTTGATTTTTGGATGTCTAAACTCGGGAGCAGTCAATTCGACTACTGGGGAGTCTTCGTTCCTAATTCCGACTCTAAGGATTTTACTGAATTCTCCGCGAAGTGTACCGTTTTCGAACGCTGGAGGATCGGACTCGCCACCGCGTCTGAGCGGCGAGTCTGTTGGGAGTTTAAATTAGTTTGAGGTCCTGGTGATAATGACCTTGGGGGTGTGTTGCCACCTCTATATGGTGACATCACCTGCGGTGTTTGAACAGGTGCTTGAAATTGCATCTGCTGCGGGTATTTCGCAGCCTGTGGATATTGATATGGAACAGACTGAGATTTTTGAGGCCACATTGATTTGTAAAACTGGGCCAATTGTTCAGGTGTGAGTTGAATCAGATTTGATTTGTTTGTTTCAGCATTTACTTTTTCTGACCGAGAATCCTGAATTAGTTCGCGGGTTCTTTTTTCGTTTCCAATCTCTAACTGTCGCGAATATGGACTTGGCGAACGTGGTCGGTCTATATTTCCTGTACGAGAAATGTGATAGGATGATGACCTAGATCTTTCTGAATACCGTTGTCTTTCTTCTGCGCGTAACGCGTGTTCAAAAGCTTCGGATAGGTTTCTCGGGTTTCGTGTGTCAACGAAAATTGACATTTCCTCAGGAAGACCCCTTATGAAGGCTTCAAGGGCACAGTCAATTATTGGCTTGATCATAATTTCACTAACAGATATATCATTATCTTCATCATCATCGTTAACGCGTCGATAACGTGCACCATACTTTTCTCCAAGGGCATGTTTCGCACCGCTAATTAACCCTTGTAATCTATCATTATAGTCACTGACTGTTTCCGTTTGTTTCATTCGCAAATTAATGATACTTTCAAAGTACCATTGGTATTTTTTTGTAGAGGCAAAACGTTTTTTTAAGTGAGTAATAAGGTCGTCGAGTCTATCAAAGGTTTTATCTCTAACACTTTCTCGAGCAGGTCCTTTTAATTTACCAAGAACTGCTTTTATAAAAGCCGATTCACTGTTTTCGCTTATGAATACAGCACCGTTTAGCACATCTTGTAAAAATTCATTTAACGAGGGATTTTTACCGTCAAAATGTGGAATATGATAAGTGCTTTGTTGTAATGTCATACACTCTAAAACGGACGCCATAGCTGCACTAGTATTTGGGTTAATAGTGGGAGCTGTAATATTCGCGGTAAGAGTCGTACCGCTATGATGGGCAGGAGGGTCTTCGTCAGCCATTTTGATTATGGTATTGTCTCTATTAAATATTATTTTATGGTATAAAGATTTTCTTAATTGATTCGCCAGGTTGTCGCAAAAATTAATTAGGTCTCAATGCACTAAATCCTGATGACCCTAAAATTCCGTTCTCATAAGGTCCTTGTAAAGGACTTTGAGATGATACTACGTAAAATGTCAGAGCCACATTCGAAAAGAACAAGTTTACTTCGCCTAAAATAAGATGATAAGCGTTACCAATCGGATAATAGTATGGGGGAAACCTTCTTTGATAACCGATTAAGGCATCTTCTGAAATAAAATTGTAATATATGTCGGATGAGATTTTTAATTTAACATTTCCTGATCTTAAACCGGAAGACAAAATTAGTACTTCTTCGGGTGGTACTAAAGAAATGGCTTCAGCCATCACGCATTCATTATTTAAACATGTAATGTGCTTATTATTTTTTTTTTTTTATTCGTAAATTATTATCATATGCAAAAAAAAAATTGGCAGTATCGTCTGTATTTCGCCACCGCGGATAATTTTTGTTTCGCTTTTATTGTTATCTTTTGTTACAATTTAAGATCCGATAATAATTGCTCTATTTCTTTTATATTATCCTTCAAACGCATGTCTCTATCAGTTTCATCACGAATTCTGTCAGTAAGGTTATCTACTATCTCATAGGCTATTTCCAACTGAGTTCTTAAGTAGAACGCATACTGTGCTATCCTAAGGTAATCGTCAAGAAAAGATTGAATCCTATTGTCTATTATTGTCAATTGTTCTTCAGAATTATTGAATGTTAAATTTTTCCAGAAAGGATTCATTCTATTATTTAAATGCCCTTTTTAATACTTAGAGATTTAAATTCGTCAATTAGATCTCTTATCACATTCTCTTGTTCTGTTAAATTTTCTCTTATTTCAATAGCCGAATCTACCAATGCTGTGTTCGAATCACTAAGAGCATGTAACCATGAAGATAAAAATTTAATTCGTCTTTCAATTTTTTCTAAATGACAATAGACGGATTTGCAATAAATAGCTAACTGTTGATTGTGATGTTCTAAGTTCTCTAATCGCTCGTTTATTTCTGACCATTGATCGCTAGATAGTCCGGAAGCTACCCTAGTTAGTCTAGGAAACATTTGCCCTTTTCGTATATTATTTTTAGGGCAATAATCCTAAAACTTGACCTGTTATATTTCCTATAACACCGGTAACTATAGGATGGTTGAAGGGTGTATCTTTTGATATTACCAGAAAAGTCACAGTTGTTCCGAAAGCAACTACATTCATTTGACCGATTATTCTATAGTGAGTATTATTAACTATGTGATCTTCTGGTTGTGTAAAATGAAGAAATTCT